CAATAATGGGAGGAACCTATGACATACACAAATGAATGTTCATTGAAAACGTACTTCAATGAGGGAATTATGGTAGAAAAAATAAAGTTAGATTCCAAAGAAGCAGATAATACTTTACTGTGATGTTTATTGCATGTGGGACTATATTTCTATAGGTGGCTATGAAAAAAACGTTTCTGAACTCCTTACCACTCCTTATAACTACTGTCTCCTTTATCATTTACCATCAACTGCTTGGCCCTCTCTACCCATTACCTCCCCCACCTCCCCCTCTGGTAATCCCCGTTCCCTGGTCAGAGTCTAAAGATTCATTTTTGTTTTCTTTAAATTCCACGAAACAATGAAATCATGTAGCATTTGTCTTTCTCCTGACTTAATTTCATTTAGCGTAATCCCCTCAAGTTTCATCCTTGTTTTTGCAAATGGTAAAATTTCATATTTTCTATGACTGAGTAATATTCCATCATGTAGATATACCACTTCTGCTTATCCATTCCTCAGTAATTGGACCTTTTTGTTGTTTCCATATCTTGAATATTGTGAATAGTGTTGAGTGAACATATGGGTGCATATGTCTTTTCAAGTTAGTGTTTTCATGTTAAGAGGCTAGTTCAAGCCTTCTGCCTTTAAAGGCACAGGCAGTATAATTTATAAGAAATCACTGCAATATATATATTTGTTATACTGCAATTAGTTAGTTAGCATAAAATTTTAGCACATTGAGACTGTAAACATGGCATTCACTCCCTACATATGGATACAGCTATGATAAGAACTCTTTTTGAAAAAATGATTAGCATTTACTCTATCCAGTAAACAAATAATAAAGAAAGCCTCCTTTTCAAACTAGCTAGTTGAAAATTAATACTTTGATTGATTGTATATGGTCCTAAGAGTATTTGAGTTACATCCTAATCTGATGTCACTTCTGAAGCTATTAGGCAAAAGACTCCTTAGTCTTCAAGTGCCATGAAGCTCGGAAAATAGAACAGATAGCATGAAAATGGGGAAAGAAAACAGGAGTCCTCAGAAGTTAGTTCTCCAGGCTAGGCTTTCCATTCTGGTCCAATATTTTTCTAGAAAACCTGGCTTTATTTATAAATAAAAGAAAAGCTTTCGGTTGGAAGGTAATAAGTGATGTTGGAAAGCGTAGTCTTTGAAGTCAAATAGATCTTGTCCATCATCTCTTAGCCCGGAGCCTCAGACTCTTCATTTCTGTGTTGCAGAATAGTAAACTTTAACTTTACAGATTCTTTTGAGATATTGACAGCACCTGTTATTCAGGAGCTATGAGTAAAATTAACTCCAAGTACCAGCTTCTGTAGACTGGTAGGGACTTTCTTGAAGTTCTATGTTGAGAACACTCTAAGGGCAGCATTAAGAAAGAATATTATGATTGATTAGTCATGTCAACTCTTGGCAGAAAGTGAAGAAAGTAGAAATCTGTATCGATTTATTTGCTATATGTGTTCTATAAATTATAACTATTATAATTATTGCTATTTTGACAAAGGTGTTTTTATGTTCCTCTTCCAATTTCTACATCTTCAGCAAAAAAATGGAATCATCTAACTGCTTTCATTACAATAGCTGTGTATATTATTTTTATTGATTTGATGATAAATTTGTATGTATTATCTGCAGAGAGGAACTGAAAAATGAAATCAGAATTTGCTGTTCCTAATTTGATTAGGAAATCAAAACACTTACTTGGGAAAATATCTGATACCATTACTAAAGATAAAATGAGAGTTGGAAAGGAAAAATAAGAGAGAATGTTGAGATACTGTCCTGAGTTATTATAATAGGTTTGCCTGGTGTCCCATACCTGCTTTAAAATATTCACAGGATCAAAACAAGGGGGGTGGGAATTGTATGGGGACTATAACCAAGATGAAAATGTATACATTGTGCAAAAATGGAAAATGATGTAAAAAATACGTAAAATAAAATAAAAAAAATTAAAAAACTAAACTAAACTAAAATATTCACAGAAGGAAAAGAGATGCTTGTTTTGCACTCAGATAGTCCATGACTTTCTGGACTTTCTTCCTGTTTTTTCCTCTGAGGCCAGATTTCTTTTCTAGCTAAATAGTCATGTTCCTGTCAACTATGGGGGATTTTCTGAATCCTAAACAGCCGATTTTATATTCTTGCCCCATTTCTTCTATTTCAGGACTGAAATGTGATCAAACCCATATTTAAAATGTATGTATTTATAGGCATATGGAAGAATAGTTTACAGGCTGAGTATGATTTTTTTTCCCCCACCACAAATGTAGAAAAATGGTGGGCTTTTTTTTTTTTGTTTTTTATAACAGTGCCTTATCAGTTTCTTTTTTTTTTTTTTTCCTTTTCTTTATTACTGATGACTTCATTCTGCCTGAATTCAATGCTTCAGTTTCTTTGGGTAAACTAATAGATTATGTATGCACTGTTTGCACCGTGCTGATTGAACTCATCTGGTGAGTCTGAGCAGGGCTCATGCATTCACGGAATGGCAGAAGCCTGCGCTGGGGATGCAGGCAGCCGTCAGCTCCCGGCTCCAGAGCCAGGGAGCTGTTCAGAACGGAACTCTGCCACCTGGCCTGCCTTCCCAGAATTCAAAAAAGCCACATCAGGCCTTCCTTTTTTTTCCTAATTGTTATCTTTATTCAAGTGCTCAAGGAAATCTTTTACTTAAAAAAGAATTATTTTTGAGAGCCTTTAAATGCATATTGAAGAAAACTAAAGGTACATGATCCTTATTGCCTTTTCTTTTTTCCTTTTTTTAAATTTTTTAAATTTATTTTCTTACATTGTTGTTAATTTTTGGACAGCATTTGGGTTCTCCCCTCATGTGTAGTCCCTGTACTTCTCCCACCACCATAGCACTGTGACCCACCACCACAGTCCTTGGTGCTCTTCCCTCTCCTGTCTTGACCCCTCTCTTTCCTCCTCCCCCGCTGTATGTCTCATATCTATGGTCAGCTTGCAAGTTCTGTCTTTTTCCTGACCTTTTGTTCAGTTTCTCTGTATCCCACATATAAGTCAAACCATCCAATATTTATCTTTTTCCTTCTGACTTATTTTGCTTGGTAAATTCCTTCCAGCTCCATTCATGTTGCTGCAAATGGCATAAGTTTATGTTTTTTGATCGCTGAGTAGTATTCCATTATGTTTATACATACCACATCTTCTTGATCCACTCATCTTTTGGGGGCACTTGGGTTGTTTCCATCTTGTCTTTTCTTAATCAAAGGTGTCAGCTGCTGAGTGTCTGTAGAGCACGTAGGAAGCCCAGAACCCTGGGCTTACTTTGCAGAGAGGTTGTAAGTACTCCTCAAGTCTTTCCATTCACTTATAGTGTTGTTAGGGAAAATGATTTTCCTCCAAAAGATGTCTACTCACCACTTTCTGTTTATACTTTACAAGTATAACTTTTAAACATTTTAAAACTAAATGGTTGATGGCCTCTTCCTATTGCTTTCAGACATCTCATTGAAACCTAAAAATCAACTGTAATATCGGAGGACTTTTTGGCATATGATATCTTCAAGAGGGTCCCCTACCTGTCTCTCTCCCTGCTCCTCTCTTATGCTCTGTGTGCTGGAGCTGTGGTTATCCCATACCATCAAGATGAGTCCTTATGCTATGTTGTTGCCAATTGAATTAAAGTACCAAAATTTGTAATATGCTCTTATGATTTACAAGAGTGTGTCCAAAACATCCCAAAAGCCCCCAGCACTCACTTTTATTCCAAGTTGTTTCCTAAATGAGAGAGGAACAGGAGTATTTACTACCTTATGTGTTATGTGGCAGGACAAAAGAAATAGAGGACCATATGTTATACCCACTGGATGACTTATATTTCCCCAAAGCAAGATGCTTTTCTTATTTCTGTCCTTTGCATTTCCCTTCCAACTACCTGGGATTTCCTCATCTAATTTGCCCAGCCATTGAACACCTATGCATCCTTCAAGACTTAGCTAAAGTGTCACCTCTGTGGTTTGTCCAGGGTCCAGGTGGAAGCCTGCTCTCTGTCAAAGTTTAAGCAGTGTACGTTCTCACAGCCCACCTGCAGACTGCTGTCATTAGCGCCTGTCACAATGGATTTTCAGTCTTCTGAATCTCTTTTGGTTCCCTACTCCCAAAATGTGTGCTGTGAATCACAGCAAAGTACTATGAATTATTCACGTTTACATTCCCAGATCTTAACATAAAGTCTGGCCTGATAGAGCGCTCAATTATGCCCTCAGCTGAACCAAACAAGTTGAACTGTGGTGATCTGCCTGTCATTATCTTCTTGCTTCCCAGCCCTAAACTATATCATATAGTGTTAGCTCTGTTAAATGTAATCATGAAAAATCAAGCTAAAGGAGAGGCAATGGCTGACCAGTTTGGAAATTGGTGGATGAGTCACTGGACGAGCAGTAATTTCTGTGAAGATGAGGTGACTAAGGTAGAGAGGAGAACAAAATGGCTCATTCTACTATTACCAGCTTTTTGGTTTTCTTTTTACTTCTCAGTCTGCTTTTGTTTCCCTGTGCCCTAGATATATCCATATATTGACATATCTCACACGCCCACTCTGAAAATTCATTAGTGTCATTGAAACGAACCTTGTGTCACATCCAACTTGCAGGTCAAACAGCTGGTTTCAAATAGGCAACGCTTATTTGATAAAATGAGATACCCACATTAAAAATTTAACCAAACTCTGTGAATAGGATGGAAAGAAAAAAGTGATGGCTTTGAGTTTCTCTAAGAGGTCAGGACCTTATAGTACCTTCTCACTCAAAGGGCATTCATAAATACCAAATCAGGTATTGTGGCACCCTTAGAACTAAAGGCATGCATGTCAGGGGTGGTTTTTCATTTTTATTGCTGATTTCAGTTTTCCTAGTATATTTGAATCATATTATTGAAGCCTCCAAATTTGGATGTCAGCTCTTTTAATATGAAGTTCAAAATGTGAGTTTCCAGGCTCATGTCCACTATGTGACTGTTTTCTCCCGTAGTGGCCGCCCCGCAAGTGGAAGCGCTGACCGCATCCAGCAGCTACGGAAGGAGTATTATCAGGCTCGGAGGGAAGGTTTCACTTTATATGAGGATGACGAAGGACGAGCAAGGCCATCTGATTATGATCTTCACTGGGTAAGTCCATGCCTGATTCCAATCATTGAGTTCATTTTTAACTGAGATAGTTTAAAGCAGCAGAACATGGCCAAGAATATTCTCTACATATCAAGTTATTTTTAAGTTACTTGGGTTTCATAGATATGAATATTACCCAAACCACAGCCGTCTTCTCCCACAGAAGTTGTTTATATAAATCAAACCACACCAATGCACAGTAGTTCATTTTAATTGCTCTCATATTTACTCCCTGTTGGTCTTGTATACTGACTTGTTGGGGTAGAGCAGATGTTAGCTATTTCAAAGAGGACAAGGAATCTTTGTCATCATCCACTGAGCTTTAATCCTTGCCCTTCATCTCTTGGGTCTCGGACATCTGGGCAAACATTAACAGACCAAACGTACGCCATGTCCCCTTTGGAAATGGTTATTAGAAGTAATTTCAGAAGTTATCTTCAGAAACATCAATGACTTGTATATTACACAATTCACATTTTGCTGATCTTAGCAATATACCAACATCATTTAATTTTGAGACGAGAGAAGTTTTTGTAGTAGAGGATTGTCTTTTGCCAAATCCTTCAAGATTCAGAAACAGAAAAGCATATTGTAGCCTCTAAAAAGATACACTGGGCTTTTTTCAGGACAACGTGATTCATTCTCTTGTTTTTTCAATAAAACAAGATTGTACCTACAGAATGCACTCAAGTCTTAAGCATTCTCAAAAATGCCCCCAGGCAGGGTGCTTACATTTGGAATAAAGGTATATAAGTCATATACTTAGAATAGCAACTGATTCTAAGTTGGCCTGTTCCTAACATCATTCCTGGGGCAGAGATGTTCATGGTAATAGTGTCTTTGTTGTGAGTTAGCTCTCACTCACCATCTTGGATGACAGCCACCTTCTCTACAGTGTTTAGTGCTGTTTTGATAAACACAGAAGGAACTCTCAGCCCTGGTGACCACTAAAAGCACTAGCTCTTTTGAAGGACCATTCAAAAAGGAGAATTTCTTTGTCTACTTTTTGCATTCATGTTTGTGCTTGAGAGGTCAGGGTGGGGAAAGCAGAGCCAGCGACTCAGCTGATAGTCCCTCTAGTCTCCTGGGAGTGGAGGCTTCTCACGTGCCTTGCTCCTTGACACGTATTCCAAGGTCAATTCGAGCATCTACCACAGTTGCTCAAACAAGTGAAACTCTTCGTCCTAGAAGATTCTTCCTCATTAGTTAACATTTATAAACACTCATCAGAAATGTGCAGTTAGGGTGATCTCCAGCCAGGTGACTTGGGCATTTTGTATTTATAGTGATGGGGCAACTGGTCACAGGGACACTCAGTAACAGACGAGAAAATTTTTTTCAGAATAACAACTTAGATGACAATTCACTTCATTTCAAATTTAATTGAGATCAGCTTACTGAGTTTGGTAAGAGACTCTATACATAATATTCAGCTCCCTTAATCAAACAACCAAGCAATAAAATAAAGGGGTGCTGTTTCCACTATACCCATCACCACGCGCAGTGCTCTGAAAATCCTCCATCTCAAAACGACTATGAATTCGTATGAGCAGAATCACGCAAGTCATTTTAAATGGAGCAGACCTGCTTGTCTTGACTTTATATTTTTAAGATTTCCTTACATCAGACTGTAAGGATGAAAATGCTTTACCTTCATGAGATGTAAGATTTCCTCTGATCCTCACCAAACCTGAGCTATATAACAATACTCTTGGGTCCTTCTTATCATAATGAGTCTCTCTTTTATGCCAAGCAAATGTGTGACTAGACAGACAAATTAGTGAGAACTTCGCTGAATTTTGCCAGAACTGACTGAGCTTACATTTCCCTGACAGTTGGGGACGAAGAGATGCTTGGGAAAGGCACTGTCATAAACGACCAGAGACACCCCAAACCAGGGATTAGAATCTCAATATCCTCTCTCTCATCTCCCCAAGCCAAGGAAAAACACTTGTATCTTTTGTCCAGCTTAGGCCTCAGAAATTACTCTATTGTCTTGCTACCTTTGGACAGGTCTAGGAAAGTAAGTTTAGGAAGTTAACATTTCACTCCCGTCAGTCGGTCAGATCCAAAACGGCAGCTTTTATGAGACTGTGGTTTCTAGATCTTTAGCATCACCTGGTGTGTTTGTTAAAGTCTGAAAGTCATTAATAATATAAAAATAATAAAGGAAACTGTAAAATTTGACAGCCCATGAAGGAAAGAGCTGGGGTCCAAGAGGGTGCCCTCAGGTGCTCCTCCAGGTGGTCCTCCTGGTTTCTGACCCACAGTTCTAAAAATAAAGCAGTGATTCCAGTCGCTTTAGTGAACAGCAAAGTAGTTCAACTTCTCTGACAAGGTCATTACATGGACCACCATCATCAAAAATACTTTCATGGCTCAGAACTCCTCAAGTCCAGTACCTCAAACTGAGAGGCCAAGCAAATACTTCCTGAGTCACACCTACTGGGAGATTTCTGAACCAGGGAGAAAAAATTTAGAAAGATGAGCTACCTAGCTCAATAGGCCCCAAATGGGAGAGTATGCTTATAAAAATCTTTAAAGACAAAATGATTAAAACAACCATTGGAAAGATTACTAGAATCTATGAATATTTTTTTTAATGTTTTTGTCACTGGGATGAATATATTCCTTTGGCCCACCCCAGACTTTCTGGATCTTTCCAGGCCATCTTGTCAGGACATTTCTGCCAGCATCACACCTGCCACCTGTCCTCGGGCTGAAGACGCCCCACTGCTCTCTCTGGTTCTCACTGGTGCTCATTTTTCTCTTCTTTTCCTTTTCTTTTCTCTGTTTCTACTATTCAGTTTTAACAAATATTTGCTCCATTTTAGTGCAGGCCAGGTGTTGATAAGAAGAATTTAATAGTGTCTCCTGAAATGTGTATAATGTTTAAACCAAAGTTACTTCAATTAAAAATTTTAAATATATAATTTAATATAATGTTAATATAATTAATATATTAATACAATATTATCTCTACCTAGCCAGGAATACAGGTATCTAAAAGGACAATAATTATGTGAGAAATGCTGGATTGTAGAGAATTATTAGCTTTCTAAGGGAGCTCAGAGAGCAGTCATTCTGTCAGAGGCAGGGTGTGCAGTTAGGGCTGCTGGGAAAGCTATAGAGAACATTTGGGAGTTGCCTCAGCTGACATATTTTGTTCTTTTTCTCTCAAATTTGGTGTGTTTTTCTTTTTCCCAAAGGAACTCCTGATTTATTCACTTCATCTGTGTTAAAATAAATGAATACACACAGATTGTAAGGTTTGTAAATATGGACACGAGACCTTAAAAATCTTTGCAGCCAGTCTGTTTTGTAGCTGTTCTCCCATCTAAGCTTGGGAAAGCTGTGAAGAACAAGTGGAGAGAATTTCAATGGCTGCAAGTAAAACTTTCTGGCCAGTTTTATAGGCTCAATTAAGTAAGAAAGATACACTTGCTATAAAGTGTTCATATTTTCCCAAAGAAAATACAATACCTGCTATCGGCTGATATTTCATTTTCCGTAAAACTTGTTAAGGCAATCACAATCCTCTACCAACAGCCTGGGTGTTTTGTTTTGTTTTGTTTTGTTTTGTTTTGTTTTGTTTTGTTTTGTTTTGTTTTAGTAGCAGAAAAAGATTATCTCCTTATTTAACAGCAGCATGAATATCCTGTAAGTAATTTTGGAAATGCAACGGATCTAGAGTTTTCTTAAAATAGTAGTACCTTTATTATTGTCTTTTTTAAAAAATTGTGTGACATAGATCACATATCTCCGCTCCCCCCTCCTTCATTTTAACTCTTGGGCTAAGTTATAAGGATATTCATCCATAAAAGGGATTTGAGGACACAAGAATGAGAAGCTAGGTATACTAATTTCCACTCTTGTAAGAGACATGGTATTATATCTTTCTGGCAAAGGGGATTGGTCTAGGGAGGTAATGGCTGGATGAATCAATGCAAGCATTCTGAAAGATGTGTTTGCCCTGTTATGAATATGGTCTTGGAATCAACTTGAAGGAATGTGCTTGGCAGCTGTTTGGACAATGAAAGACACATCTGGTGAATTCTGCAGTCAGAGGAAAGGGAAAACAAGATGCTGCGATCATGCTAACCATCTTTTTAAAAAGGGATTTAAAATGGAATGTGTAATAGCCATACAAGTACAAAAATCACCAGAAGGTTATTTTCTGAACAGGGGGGATATGAAGAATAAGCTCCTGCTGTCCAATGGCCAATACCAGAATTTGTCTTTCTTTCTCTGCTCCTTAAAGGCATCTGATAAAAATTAGGATATTGACAAACAATTTCAGATTAGTCATGGCTCTTAAATTGAAAAGAACAGAACCAAATTCAAATTGGTCTAGCAAAAGAGAGAGAGAGAGAGAGAGAGAGAGAGAAAATTTGTTGTTGGTTTAGATACCTCTTACGTCAAAGGCATATCTGACTTGAAGCAAAATTGCATCCAGCTCCTCGAGTCAGGCCACTGAGTCTGTCTTTCTCCGTCTCTCACCTTTGTGATCCTCTGCAGGCACCAGTGTTAGGGACCTCCCGCCTATAGTGTCAAGACAGCTATCAGCAGCTCCAACCCAACAACTCTTAGAAAGAGATTGTCTTACCCCCACTACACCCAGGAAATCCTAGAACTGATGTCCTATGGAATGCTTAACGGCTTCCTGACTCAGCATAGATCACATGCCTGCTTCTGAACAACCATGGCCAAAAATGTGTAGATGCAGGACTGTTACTGGCCAGATCCAATCACAAAGTTGCCCCTGGAACCAGAAAGTAGAATCCCGCTCATACAAAGTCTCTTAATGTGTATAGATGAAGAGTTTGTCCACCGAGGAAAAGTGAGGTGCTATTAACAGCAAAAGGGAAAACAGAAATTGGGTACCATTGGGCGCTGTCTACTATAACCTGTGGCTCTTATAATCTTCTTAGAAGTTCTTCCTTCATCTTCTTAGAAGTTCAAGGAAAGAGAAGAAGAAAACCTTTTCCTTCATGTATTTC